GAGCACCAAGGCGCTGCTCGCCCGAACCAAAGAAGCCGAGGTATTTGATTCATTGGGTGATTGATCAGTGATTCCCGGAGCGACTGCTTAAGAGAGAACTGTTGAAGTCATTAGTCCCGGAAGAGTAATGCTGTTTTTGTTCTTCGGGAGGTGGCAGTGCCCCGCTGGATGGTGAGTTCCGGCGCCAACCTACCGTCGACTAGCGGTTTTTTTTACCAACCATGTATCCTCCACCAGCGGGGCAATGCCTCAGCGTAGGACCGCTCTCCCAGCATGTGTAGTAGTGTAGTGCATGTAATTGTAAATATGTGTAAGTAAGGGTTGAGGATAGGACAAGGAAGAGGAAGGAAAGAATGCGCACTGTCCGTGACCCGTTTGTTAGGGTACTGCTCCGGCATTCGCCTGTTGCTGTTCGAAAAAAAAACACGAAAAATCGATCGATCAGAGCAGCTGTCACTAGAATTCTCCTTCAGACTGCGACTGAATTCAATCTATCCATTTCCGAGGTATTAGTCCATCGTTTTCTTCGACGAGCTCCAAAACGCCGACATTCTGCGGGCACGGCGAGCACCGAATATTCGGCGCTCGGCGACGAGAAAGACAAGCAGCTTTACTGCTCGAATTTGGCGGACAGCCTCTCGATTCGAATGAGGTTAGAATGAGTATTTCGTGCTTTCGAGCAAATAAACTACTGTAGCTGAGTGATGATGGTGTTGCTCCCCACTTGAACATGAGATCCATCGCCGACTTACACGATACATGTGAATGTGTGAGTAAAGAGTGGTCGAGGATGAGGAAGGAAAGATCGTAAGCGATAAATGGCCTGTTTCTTAAGATAGTGGCATTCACCTGTTTCGTAGGGTAGTGGAATAACATGGAGAAATCGGCCGGCCACTACAATGCTTCTCCAGACAGCGGTTGAATTCACCCAGTTGTGTAGCTAGTGACCCGTCGGGATTTGAACTCTAGAACCTCTCCAAGAGAGATCCAGCAGCGGCAACTGTTGTTGACACTGAGGCATCTTAGTCGCGTTTAGGTACGAGTTCCGCGGAGTAGCAACACCGGCTAAATCCCTGGGTCGAGGCCAATGACGATCCGGATCAGAGGTCTAGAGGCTGACTGCTCTTATCAGTTCCGTAACTTATTTCGAATACTGACGGATAACGGACAACGGACTTCCTCTCCACGATACTTCCTTTTCCGTTCTGGGCACATTCCCATTCATTGATCTTTATATCTGGGTCTGAAAAGACTGGGGCGTAACTGCAAGTATGCGAATGTTATCCCAAGCTCTGAACAAGGGTCTAACCATTGTAGATTAAAAAAATAATTACAAAAGCAGATTATGTAATTCACCGCTTCGCGCATTGCTTGCAGTTGGTGATGGCTGGGGTGACTCGCCGAGACGCAGAGAGTGATGCTCTCGCAACCGTCAATACTGCCATTGAGAATCTGCATTCGCAGCTGAATGAGCTGGCAGAGAGAAACATCACTGAACTCTTCGGCGACTTCAGCACCCAGCTGCAATCGCTTGGCACGAGGATCAGCGACATGGCCAACAGTTTATCGGAGCAACTGGCCAACAGCAATGCTCCTGCCACCGCTGCTCCTGCGTCACGCTGAAGAGTCCCATCCTTCCCTATTCCCCCACCGCTGTTACGCCACGCTTCCTGACCAAACACACACGCTCGACAGAGCACAGTGTTGGCCTCCGTTCACAGAACTCATTGTCACACCTTGAATTCTCTTATTACAATACTTGACTTGAATTGCACGTTTGTGTAATGGAAGGATTGGCCACTGAGTGATTCCAGTGTGTCTGCTGATTTATTTCGATTTAATTCCCGAATTATTTTAAATCAAAATAGATAATTTATTTTAATTTCTGTCATCGTGAAGGCTCCTTCCATATACTTTTTCATAAATTCTAAAATATATGTCAATTTCTGGAACCAAAATTAATGTTATGGTCTCAGTAATTAAATAAATCCCTACTAGTCTCTACAGCAGATTGAGAAAAGTTGTCATAAAAAAGGCAAACCTATCTTTTCTATAAATTACGTCATTCTCCAAATATCAAAATTCTAAAATTGTGGAAACCAGACCAAGTGATCACATTTTTGTCAAACATCGCTCCGTGCCGTATTTGACAACGGAATTCAAGCAAAAAATAGAGGCCATCGATTCTCCACTTGCGGGTGACATCCGCATGCAAAAATGTATGTTGCTGCCTCCATACGAGAGGATAATCCTATTTTTGACCCCTCCTACCCCATCACATTTCATACTTTCCCCGCCTTCATACTTTTTAGGAAGTGCCCACAGATAACTTACGCTCGCGAAGCACACTTTCCATCGGCAGCTACTATGTCCTCCATTACCTTTTATGTCATAAAATTATATTGAAATCTCTTGTATTTTGAAGCCAATAAAACTATTTAATCTCTGTATGTTAGCATTCTTTCATGAAAACAAACACTTTCTCTTACAGTTTATCGATTGGAAAGTACCGCAAAGTAAATGGGTACAATGAAGTAAACAAAACACTGGGGGATCAAGAATGAATATGACAACAGTCTTGCATATTCAAAATGCTCCCACGAGTGTGTAAATGTTTCTGTGAATTTGTACTAAAAGTAATGTAACTGATACAAAAGTTGTTTTGAAAAACTCATTTCAAAATCCTAATGTCGCCTCATCTTCCATGATTTCACTTTTTCGCCAAAGACTCACTTTCTAAACTAGAAACATAAATAACTGCAGTTGACTACGGTTATAGTGAACTTCTGAGGACTAACGTTTTTGGTAACTATACTAAAAGTTCGCTATATCCGATGATGTCAAAATTAAATAGAATTTCTCCGCAATTATTGATTTTATTAATATAGAGCTTCAGCAAAATACATTAACAGCATAAACTGAAATTTTCAATACCTTTTACTGACCTTAAAAAAATAATAATTTTTAAAAGCTTCCTTCATGTTATTCATTTTTAATTTATTTACAGTCTTCTCCAAAGTTCGTGCTCGCTCCATACTTGATTCTGCATTGTCCACCGTCTCTAAGTATCGTAATGCAGCCTTACAACCCTTCAATGCCTCTTGTAACGTTGGAACATCGCTCCACTCTCCGAAGTCTCTTTTATTCGCCAAATAACATCGAGATATTTTCGGTAGCGGCATGGCGCAAGCGGCTAATGAAACTGATCGGTTCCACGAGGCGTGGCGGCTGTCACTAGTCTGTGGGGTTGTGGTAGACGTGCGATCTCTGCCGCCTACCCAAGTACCTATTTCGGGTCAGCTACCTCTACTTCAAGGGAGACGTCTTCAAATGTCGACGATATTTTTTCCAAGCTGCCTAAGGTTGGAACTTTTGTTCACAATACCCGAGGTTCAGAGTTCACTATAACCAAATCTTCTTGTTCTTATTAGTAATACAAATGAAACGGGACCAATGACTAAGTTCACTATAACCGCGAGGTCACTGTAACCGGAGTCGACTGTACTTGCTTATAGATAACTTCAAAATAAGTTGTATTTGATATAATTTCACACCGACTACAATATTAACACTTATTTACACAAGTGGAAAGAAAATCTTCAAAAAATGTGGGCAATAAATCTTGAACAAGTTCATTTCTAACCTATGAGAAGGGTCTCCAACATATTGTGAGGGGGACTGAATGTTGATTCTCGGAAAACTTTAATATCTACAGAAAAAAATCATAGAGCTGCAATCCACTTAGATCTTAACACCTAGTTTTTGTGAAGAAAGAAACTCAAGAGTAAACATTTTAATTAAATAATTTGGGTGTCTCTATTCGTAATTGGTTTTAAAAAATGTTTCATAAGTAGAATTATATTTGAAAACAAAATGTTGTTTAATGTATCTTTTGGGGACAGGCAACAGAAATAATAAGTGCTTTATTAATCTATACAACTTCCTCCTTCCCAATGTGCAAAGAGTCCGTAATTTCTATTTTTAGACGTTGGCAACCCTAACTGCGATATCATTTTAATTTGATTGTTTATTTTTCAATCACGGACAAATGTAGAGAAGTATCCTGGAGAACTAAGACGTTGGAAAGATTATATTTGAAGAATTCAATAATGAAGGCAATGTTTTCTCACATTTTTAATTTATTTAAAATTTCCGTAATTTATTGAAAATATATCTCCTCTTAAGAACGGGAAATGGACATAATTTCAAAAGATTTATCAAATTCTGTAATTGCTTTATTTTCATTGACTCACGAGGCAGACAATCGAATTCTTTGATGTTTCTAATGAAATGTAGGTGTCTATTATGTTGTATTGAATATATTTTATAATTTTAGCTTCAGATATACGAATAAATAATTACTAACTTCTAGCAACCTTTTGAGTCTTAAGAAAACTAAAGTCAAGTAGTGAGTACTCGAAAAATATGACTAAACAAAAAATACTTCAGAATGGCGAGACAGCAAAACAAAACAAGCAGGTAGGTAGGTAAAAATAAATTAAATTTCCGTTAATAAACACAACATAGCAATGTTACAACACCCCTTGGAAAAACTGAAGAGGAAATTACGACACACAAAAAACAGAACTTTTAGTTTCAAGTTCACTTTGTGGCCTTTCTTCTGACACACGACAGCCTCATCTTTTTGCGCTGTCTTTAAATAAAAAAATTCAGTTCTGTCAACTCACTTTTGAACTTTACATTAAGTGCAATTTACGCGCGACCTGACAAACATCTGTGCATGCATGCATACACACACACACACACACACACATATATACGTACTAACTTAGATGCTCCGAAATTGAACTACGCTGTTAGAATCAGTTTTAGGGACTTCCCTCTCTGACCACTCTTAAACTCCTCACACTAGACACTCGACGTGTCATGATGAACGCCTATTGGCTGCACTTTGGAGGCTGCAACATTTCCTTCTATCTTGCGATATTCGGCCTTTGCTCTGTAACGTTCTTCTGATATAAAAAGCGAATTGGGCTTCGCATTCACAGATCCCTCCGCGACCTCTCGCAGCGACAGACCACACTTCTTTACGGAAAGATGGCTGCCGAACGAGTGTTTACATTCCTGCTTCTCGTGATGTTCGCTATTCAGGTGAGAGAAGGCGCTTGCATGACCGAGCGGGTGACTTGGGGGGGGGGGGCAGGGTATTTGTGGTTCTCCCTAAGCCTTTCTTCTTCATGGACGATGAGTTATACGATAACGGCGAATCAGCCTAATACCAGGTTCCAAGGTCGGAAGTGGAAAGAGATTTGGAAAGAGTGCGCGCGATCTACAGCCCGTTGTTTAATGTACAACTCCGTCATCCGTCTGCATTGACATTAAATAGGCTGTTGTATTATTTTTATACAGTGTAGTTGCTATAGCTGATAGCGCTATATTAATAAATTATTTCATATTAGCAAAATGTGGCGTCACTGACAATGTAAACTGTTTTAAAAATAGTTTCATATGTTGAAAATGTATTTCACACTTCATTTCTTTCATGACCAGCTTTGTTTAAATATGTTCTTTCAGTATTTGGCATAGGACTTACGACTAATTTGACATAGGACTAACGAATCGTAGTAATAATGTTATACTCCCGTTCAAAGTTCCAACACCCTATGTGTGTACCTACATACGGAATATGAACTGGGTCTTATTGCTTTTTCACAATTATAATCGCTGTAACAAATACTTGCAGGTTTTGATGCTAATAGTTAAATTTTAGTACAGCTACATTTTTAAGCTTTTTTGCTAATATGCACAAAACTGCACATAGTACATTTACATTAGCACAAATACTAAATGCAAAAATACAGATCATTCCCAATTAGTTCAGAAAATTCTGTCGCAACAACATTTACAACATTTGATTCTTCCACAGATTTCCTTAAAACTTACATATTTTTCTTCCCTAATTTTTGAAGAGATTAAGCTTCACCAACTCAGTCTAATTTGTATTCACACCTACTTCTGCAATTGCTCGATTAATCGTTTTGTATGAGAATCAAGCGTTGCATGCGAATCTAACATTAAAAGGTGACTCTTTTGAATGTGAATAAGATGTTAGTTAATTTGAATAAGAATAAGTTGTGAGTCACATTCATTTGAAAATCGGTATTTGAACACATGTAAGAACGTAAAAGTGCGACGTGGAACATAAAGTTCATTTATTCTCCAGCATTACTCACAGTTTTGTTTTCTACGTATTCACTTGAAATTCAAGTTCAACAAGTTCCAAGGCAATACTGTACGCAGGTATTCGCAAATTTATATTTTAAAATATGAGAATAATTTAACTCTAAATTGATATCAAACTGCATTTACATGGCAATTCAATTGTTCACTTAAAGATGTCAACATCAGTGTTGCCAACTGTCTTGAAAGAAAATTATGACGTATTAAGCAAACAATGCCTTTGGATTCTGGTATTTAATCAACGCCACCTACATAGATCGATTTTGGAGACGTTGGTGTAACTCCTGCCATTATCACTGCGCAATCGCAGTGCCAAAACACAAAAAAACACGTTTTTTTTGGAAATTTCTTCAAATCTTCTGGATTCGAAAACACATTATCAGTTCCTCACCAGGAGACGCGTCGAATGACACCTCATACGTCTCGATTGGTGCACGGGAAGAAGTCTAGACACCAGTGAGGGAATAGCAAAAACATACGTTTGCACGTCCGCACACTCGTGAGTTTTACTGAAATACTGTATACTGTTGAGATATGATATAGATATTATATTGAGATAAGTTTCTTATTTTTCCTGAGATCTAGAGTTACTATACAATGGAATCAAATAAAACATTTCGCAGCTTTGTAGGTGCTCTAATGCTCTTAGAATTTTATCTCAATGCCGGTATGTGTATACATGTGCGTATGTGTATTACCGGAATATTATTTAACATTTCTTAAGAAAATTTTAAGAGTTCAACTTTTTTTAAAAGACAATATAACATTTCTATCATGTTTGGCATTACATAAATCCACATAATAAGCAAAATCGGAAAGGGTCGGTTTCATTGCTCAATTGCGCAAGAAATGATCCATAAACTTAAACTCATAACCATTGATAATTACCAAAGCGTAAATAGGAGCACTGTCACTTTCTGATAACTCATCGTTTCTTGATGTGAACAATACAACCTTGCCACTGACACGCAATACACACATACTATAACAATCAAACAAGAGAAAGCAATGTTAGCTGTAATATTAAATGGTCCGATAAATCGAAAATTTAAATAAATATCAAAAGTGCTAAGCAAAATTCTTCTTCAAACTTGCATTTCTGTTTCCCTCAATTCTGACCATCAACGATGAAAATACCTACTGATTGCAACCTTCCCAAAAACGTTAAAAGCAGATGAGAAACTTGTGCGGAAGAGAGTTAATCGAGAGAGATTTGCATACAATAATTGCACAGTTTCAACACATGCCTGGAGATTGGTCGGGAGCTTGTCCCAGCTGAGACGGTGCCGGATTGTGCGCTGATGGGAAGTACCTGGTGGGGTAAAATCCAGCTAGCCGACGGTAGGTCGGTGCCGGATTTCAACACCGAATGGGGAAAAATTATCACCACATCACGCGATAAAAAACATGAATTACACTTACGGTAATAACGACCTTAGCAGTTGCCGCGCCCGGAATAGCTAATTAATCAAATCAATCAAAAACCCCATAAACGCTCGCACCCCAGCTGCATGCGTGCCAACTTTGAATGCCGTGTGCACCAATAACACTAAAAGTGTTGCTCTGTCCGCAGTTGGTGGCGGCTGGGGTGGTGCGCCCAAGTGAGGCGCCCGCCCAGAGCACGAACGCCTTGGACGACTTCATGGAGTCGTTGATCTCCCTGAGCGCCAGACGGCGCAACGACACGGATCCGAGTGGCGGGAACGTGCTCCAGCGCGTCCAATCTATAACCAATAAGGTCGGTCACTGCCCAAAGGAACTTGATTCCCGACCTCGCAAAACCGTTAAAAGCCGCAACTTGAGCTCATGCTTCACCCTTGTAGGCGTCTGCCCGTACTGGTCTGCATCACCCCGGCCTTCTTTGCGCCGTCCAAGTCGAGACGAAAAAGATCCCAGCAAAAAAGACTCAACTAAAAAACACAACGGCCCTAGTCTAGTTCCTTTAGAATGCCATTGTAATTATTGTCAATTTTCTTCATATTTTTTTAATTCTATGTTTACAAATAATTGAACGTTAAGTAAATTCATACTGAATTTAAATTCTCACTTACTTCCCCCGTTTGCAATACAATCTAAAATATACGGCGCGGAGAATAGAAGAACATTAAAGGAGGGTGGGAGGTGAAACGTGATATTGATTGTACAATTCTGAAGTCATCATACTTATTGTATGAATATATCAAATTCTATGGTAACAGTATCTAAACCTAGGCATCGGACAGAAACTACCCTGTGCTAAAATTTAAAGGATCAATATGAGTTAATATAACACCATTCTTCAGGCGCGTTCACAATTTAGTGAAAGCCCCGAGCCACGATACAATCATCGTTCGTATGGCTTGTACGTTGGTGAACTCGAAACGACCTCACCACTCGCCCGCCGCTCAGTTCGGAGCGAGCCGATAGATGTCGGTGCATCAGAGCGAGAGTCAGCCGAGTTCATGTGAGAACTTTGTTCAATGGGAAATTCCTTCGATCGACGGTATGGCTCACTAAAATGTGCCATAATTCCAAATCATTAATTCAATTCCTTACAAATTCCTGGAATGCTCGAATACGTTTTTGCATATCTTCAGTGTGAACTAATGTATTGTGCTACAGAAAGCCACATACGATAAATGATAGTGTCCTGCCGTTTCTTTTCTCAATAGCATGACATATGCTAACAGTGATTTGCAGAAAATTGATTGTTCATTAAAATACCAAGTTTGATTGTTTTCGATGCTCACAGTTCAAACTAATGCTTCCAGGATACCTCGAATTCCTGAAAAAGTTAGTATGCAAATTATTAAAAACGTTGCCAAGGCATGACATTGATTTTCACAGATTTGGCATTGCTTCATAAACTCTAATCAAGAAAGGTTGCGTCGATATTTCCTAGGTTTTGAAAGCCACGAAGTAGAGAGGAGAAGGCATCGGAAAGCATTGCTGAGTCATTACGGGTACTTTTACTTCGAATTATGTTTATTTGGAATCGATACCTACGTCTTGTAGCCACGGGGCCGATGGGAGCAAATGGAGGGAGAGAATTATCGATACTTCCATTTTTAATTGTTGGAATCTATATCTTGGTTTCGATTGTGTGAGGCTGAGGGGAGAATTCCAGTTGGAGAATTGCATAATAAGGCACATCTGTACAATTTTGTCTTGAAGGGGTGGAGACCGAGAGTAGGAAGCGAGGGATAGCATTTCTGGAGCTTTATCGAAAGTTTTACCTTCAATGACGGGGATTGGGAATCGATTGTCGTAATGCTAAAGAGAGAAGGAAAGCTAGGCCATTTCTGAGGCGCTCCATACTTTTACTTTAAATGGCGATGATTTTAGCGTCCATACGCAAGTTTCAATAATCTCTAGGCCGAAGGCGTGAGGCTAGGAAGTACGCCTTAGCGGACAGCACTAGGAGGTACGCCTTAGCGGACAGCATCTTCTGCGCATGCGCAGTTGCACTACAGTGAGGCGAAACTTGAACTGCACATGCCCAAAAGATTGATAGTGCTTTAACATTCGAGGGTGTACAAACTCACTAACGATTGGTGTTGTTTAACCGATAGTCGCGACAATTAGGAGAGGAGACAAGAGTTCATTATCATGTTGGAAAGATATACTTGGTGAGTTAGTCAGGCGCGGCGCCCCAATTTTTGTTGGTTTTGCGCATCACCAGTTTACGTTACGAACCACGTGATCACAACACGGGCACTTCGTTTTTTCAAACTGTCCTGTACTGTCCAGTCGCTGGCCGTCATGTTGCACAGACAGGGAGAAGTGTTGAGAAACAGTTTGAAAGTGTCATAAAGTAATAATTTTCAACGGTGACCAACCAAAAATATGACGATTGAAGTGTAGTTGAAATAAAAGATGCAATATGTTTTAAAAAATATCTGTTTCAGTGACACGCAACAAGGTGATAATTTTGGTATCTGGTTTAATTAAAAATTCCTGCTAATATTGTGGCGCAAACTGGTACATAAAGTTCATTGACTGAAGCAGTATAGACTGCGCAATAGCTCACCTATGTCTTTTCATCATGGACACACAATGCAAGGGACATAATAATTGAAGCACTATCGATAGTTTAACCTTCAATAGCAAGGTCTTTGGCAAGCACGCGTCAGGTTTCGGTAGTCGCAAGGGTGAGAGCACAGGGCACAAGACAAGAGGCCCAATACGGAGTTTGTGCCACCTCAAACGTTAAAGCACTATCGGTCTTCTACTCATGCGCAGTTTAAGTTTCGCACCATTCTAGTGCATCTGCGCATGCGCAGAAGATCGATATTGCTGACGCTAAGACTGGCACAAACTCCCTGTTCATTGAGACACACTCGATAGTTTTCCCCTTCACTGTCGAGGTTTTTGGCATCGCCAGGCGCGAAAGCGAGGGGCGAAGGCTAGCGAGCGCGTGGGCGTTGCCCGCAGATGACGGCGCTGGCGGCGACGACGCGTTGCCACAACTCGACGGAAGACTGCGACGTCTTGGACGAAACGCAACGGCTGGTGGCGTCGTGGGTGCGCAGCCACTTGTCCAACGCGTCCACGGGCCACCAAGTGGCCGGGCAGCGGGACGCCATACGGGAGAACATGCGCAGGCTGCAACAGCGGCTCAACGAGTCTCTGGCTCGGGCCGAGGAGTTCCCGCAGACCATAGTCAGCCTCGACACGCGCTGACCGCGTGCTGCTCTGGGCCCCCCGCGCGCGTTCCCGGGTCCTGCGAGTGGGGTGGGCAGAGAGTTTTATTTTCTTTGGGTTGGGTTTACACGAAATTTGAGGGCGGGGGTACTAAAGGAATTTCTACAACCACAGGATACGTATTATAAAGTAGCGCATCTCCGTGTTTAATGTGTCATATGACCGAGTCTTATGACGACGTGTTGGTCAGCGACTCTAGTGATCCGCGCGGCGATCAAGGTATTCTATGCCGCCTTACCAATTGTAACACAACATTCTTCTAAATCTAACCAAAAAGTGAATGGCTTTGAATATATTTGAATCTCTTTATCCATACAATAAATTAGCATGTGAAGTAGAAGTTTTGAACAATTTCTAAGGAAAGAAATGATTTAAATCTAATGAATTATATCCATTGACCGTGAAAATTGGAATCATTAGGAATAACAAGTATTTCTATACATTTCATGAAAATATATAGAAATATAATTAATCTAATAGTAAATAAGGGTATCTAGAAGGTAATAACATTTTTGTATCCGTCTTTTATTTCTAGGTCTATTCGAAAAGTAAAAAAACAATATAACTTTGGGTTCTTTCCTTCATTATTGTTGCATTTAAATGCAGAACAGTACGCCTCTTTCGACACACGCGTTTTTATTAATGTGTTAACTGGAAAAGTATAAGAATTCAGTCGGTGAGTATTAAATATGTTACGATAATGTCACAGAAATTTTATTTCTGTGTAATTTTACGTGTTATTTAATGACTTGCTCTTGAAATTCTAGGGATAAGAAACCACGAGATCAAGAAACGACGCAAATTACTTTTTTTAAAATGTTTTAACCATATCATAAAAACACGAAATTACACATAAACATTCGTATACTTCAGTAGCAGCTATCCGCAGTTTTACTTTATCTCCACCAGGATCGCTATCTGTATGCGCGTGCATCCGTAACTAGCCAAAAATCGGGCTGAACTGCGCTAGGGTATTGATACGTCTACAGTGCTTTAAGCTTACTAACAATCTAAACATACGCTTGTTGCTATTATCGTCCGTCTCTATTTAGATCAAAGCGGATAAGGATACACAAGACTGAATCGATATTGACAAACGACACTGCATAGATATCGTTAATGTTGGAGTAGATGGGGTTAAGTCGTAAAAGTGAGTGTATAGAAAAGTGGAAATAATACTTCGGGCCAACACTGTATATCAGCGACAATTTAAAGAAATGCATTCACTACATTCTAATAGGAGTTTTATGAAAAATATTGTAGATTTTATCGTGTGTAACTGCATAAGAAAAATAAATCTGTTTTCACAGAACAGACGACTTTGTTTATCTGAACACCGTAGATTTTTTTAAAAGATGCACCATATTAACCGTTTGTAAATACGTTATTCGTAATCCCTAATTAAATAGAAAAGTATAATTTTGTAATATTGTTCAGAATGTAACATCATTCTACAGAAAAACGACAAAAATAGATTCTTCAAGCAGACAGAAGAGATAATGCCCAATGCAAAGCGGCTGCTCTGATCGGTATTTTTTCCGTGGTTCCTCCGATCAACAGGCGAATGCCGGAGCAGTACCCTAACAAACGGGCTATGGACCGCGCGCGAGTTTTCCTTCCTCTTTCTTGTCTTATCCTCACCATTCAGTTACACACACACTTACATTCCCTACACTACCACTCATGCCAGGAAATCAGTTGGGAGTTTATAACTTGCCCGACTGGGGAGGCGAGAGATACCTAGTTGGAGAAAACCCTGCTACCCAACGGTAGGTCGGCTGCGGATCTCGACACATAGCGAGGGAAAATCACCGCCACCTCCTGAGCAAAAACACATGCACGATACTTACGAGACTAACGACCTTGGCCGTCGACGCGCTCAAAATCACTGACAAATCATCAAAACGAATAGGGCAAGTATTTCGCGGGAGCGCATTTTTACATGCCTGGCACAGAGATATGGCATCGTTCAAGTAGCAAGGGCCGAAGCCCTAACTCAAAACTCTCCCTTGCCTTTGGACGTTCACTTCTAATTTTCCTATACTGACGGTTGCGGTTGACGGCAGCTCTTTGCGACGTCAGGAGTAAAAAGGTGTAATTGTCACCAGAAACGTATGTTTAAATTTTCTTATTGTTCACCTGGATATATAATTTTACAAACATTGAATGTATACAATTGTTAAGGTTGTTTTTTTCTCCTTTATATCTCATAAATCTTAATTTTAAATGTGGCGAGCGCGATTCTATGCGCAACAAATACGGGTAGATCCAGACAGTATAGGATTTCTGTAAGAGGGAGGGTGTCAATGACTTGTGCACAAACTCTTTACAGAAAATGTCACTTTTTGAATGGGAATTCCTTTTTGAAATGATACCTGCTCGAGCGTAATGAGAATACTCCTTTTAAATGCAATGTGAGGTAATTGTTTTGAATAAATTGAGTACAATGTTAGATTTGACATTCCTCCTTACCTTACCCTGCGTTCGAGGGAGAGGTACTTGGTATTGCGCAACCTGTCCTATGTACGTTTAACACGAAATTACGTACACGATTACAATATGGTAATATTCTAAAGAAAACCATACGTGCGTGTCTCGTGATTAATCGTAACCCGGTGGAACCCACATACTCCAAATGTCCGAACGGGTTTACCGTTTCATGATCGCAAATGTCTTCACAACCTCAGTTATACGGACGGAAGACAGCTAGCGTACCGACTACACGCTCGTAGCTGAGCAAAATAGAGTGTTTAAGTCATATCTTTGACAATGCAACAAAAGCACACGCTAGGCTTTTTTGTTTGAACGGGATACCGTTTCCCAGTTTCCACCCACGGGACTTCCGATACAAGCCAATTAGTGCAGGTAAGTCGACGATAAAGCGGGCGGTCCGAACTGCCCTTAACCGCCGTAGCGGCTTTGAGCCAACTGCAACGGCTCATGGACTTTATGCCACACAGGTAACCGCCGTCCCGTTGCCGGTCGGCAGCCCTAAGGCAGAAGAGGACGGCACCCTGGAGCGGCTGCGGGAGGCGCTGCAGGCGGTGGAGCGGGCTCTGTGGGACGGGCGCCCCTCCACGCCCC